TGACTGCCACCGAATTTATCTGGGTGAAGAGACGACTCGCACAAACAGACACCTCTATTGGTTAGCCCGGCAGAAGAGAGCGGCGGGAAAAATCAAATATACGTGGTTTGCTTCCGGAAAGGTGCGGTGTCGAAAAGAGGACGGACATAGAGTCATCCTGATAGAACAGGCCTCGGATCTAGATGTATTTGACTGACTACCTAGAAGCCGTCAACCCCTTTGCCTCATTAAAATAGTCTTACTTCTTCTCTTAGTGCTATCTCGACACCGTCACTCACCAATCTATTTATTTTTAAGTACATTCTCTTTATTTATTTTTAATGTTAATATTACTTTTTCTTCATTTAGTTTCATGTACGATAATCGCTTTTCTGTACTTTCTACTCGTTTTGTCTTCTCGCCACCAAACACTGACTGTTTCTCTCCTAATCCACTGTATGTCTAGTTCCCTAATCACATGTCAAGTTAACTCTCAATCACTTTCTGCCCATTATGACGAATTCCTGCAATACTTTACCCAAAACTTTTATCATATCATAGCAATATCCGAAACCTGGCTTAAACCTTATATTCCATCATCTTCAGTATCCTTGCCGAATTACATCCTGCTCCGTCATGACCGGGTAAACCGGACTGGCGGTGGAGTAGCCATGTTTGTCCACAATAGCCTAAAGACCCGAATCCTCGATTGCTCCCCATCTTCCGATCATCCTCATGTAGAATATCTCTTAGTAGAAATTCTCAGTAATATTTCTCCTATCATTTACGTCGTGGTATATCGCCCTCCTCTCGTGCCATTTGACCCGTCCTTCGAATCAACTCTATTCAACTTCGTTCCCCTCTATCCCAGAATAATTATCTCCGGTGACCTCAATACCAATTTCCTCTCAAAATCCAATGACAAATCCTATTTAGAAAATCTGTTTTTCTCACTTCACCTATTCATCGTTCCTTTTTCCTCCACCCACCACACCAGCAGATCTGACACTTGGCTAGACTTCTACATCATCGACTCAGCACAAAACCTCCTCTCCGCCTCTCAAGTGCCAGTATCCTTTCTTTCATCTCATGATCTGATACAAATAACGTATAATATCCGCACTCCTCCAATCCATCCTCGAACTATCACTTTCCGCCAACTGGATACCCTTACTCGAGAAAAAATATTACCTGATCTAGTAACATTGGATTTAAATGGAATATATCATTGCTCCTCTGTCGACACCATGGTTGATATTCTCACCACCAATCTTCTCAATATACTCAATACCCACGCTCCTCTCAAAACCTCCACTTTCCGTCATCGTCCTGCTCCTTGGATGTGTCAGGAAATTAAGGATCTGCAGAAGAGACGCGACGCTGCACGCAGACGCTTCAGACGGACTAGGCTTGCAGATGATTATCAAATATTCAGAATGCTTCGCAACACGCCACAGACAAGGATCCGACAAGCGAAAGCGAACTACTTTCACGAAGCCCTTTCCTCAGCTCCTGATATCAAATCAAAATGGCTTCTACTTCGTAAGCTTTCCCTCTGTGACCCTTCTCGATCCCCTTCCTCAGTTTTCCCAATATCACCTGATGACCTAAACTCCCACTTTATATCGGTTTCCACCTCTTCGTTACCATCCCCTTCCGGCTTTTCTCCAGAGGTACCTTTTAACGACAATAATTTTTATTTTTCCGACATTTCTCCCACAGACCTTATTACCGTTATAATGAAATCCCGTTCCAATTCCGTAGGCCCAGATGGCATTCCTATCAAACTAATAAAATTATGCCTCCCTGAAATCCTCCCAGCACTCCTTTTCATCTACAATTTCTCCCTGCAGAATTCAATATTCCCGACCTCTTGGAAAAAAGCCATTGTCCTTCCTTTAAACAAAAAGCCTAATCCATCCTCTCCCGAAGATTTCCGCCCAATATCAATCCTTTCCAATCTTTCTAAACCCCTAGAAAAGTTGGTGCAATCCCAAGTTTCCAACTTCCTTGAACAATCCAACCAACTCGATCCTCTCCAATCTGGCTTCCGTCCTGGCTACTCTACACAATCTGCTCTGATTAAAATTACTAGTGATATCCAGACTGTAATAGATGACAAAAAACTAACCATTCTTATACTTCTTGATTTCTCTAAAGCTTTCGATTCCATTATCCATTCCATCCTTTTCAACAAACTAAAATCATTATCCTTCTCCAAGAGTTCCATCTCTTGGTTCCAGTCTTTCCTCTCACAACGAACCCAAGCAGTTTCCATACCTAATCAACCTCTATCTGCCTACCTTCCTTTATCCACAGGAGTTGCACAGGGTTCAAGCATGTCTCCTCTTCTTTTCAGTTCTTATATTAATGACCTAAATGATACAATTATCCATTGTTCCCACCACCTTTATGCCGACGATTCTCAAATCTATTTATCCTTTTCTCCCGCTGAGTTATTGGTGGCATTTGCCAAAATTCAAGAAGATTTAGATCGAATTAATGCCTGGGCCAACTTAAATGGATTAAGGCTAAATGCTGCCAAAACTCAGGCCATTCTCATTGGTTCCAAGCCCCTTCTTAGATCCCACACCAACTTTCCCTCACTCTATCTAAACAACCACCCCATCACCTTCTATCCCTTTGTTAAAAATTTAGGCTTTCTCATAGATCAAACCCTTTCCTGGAATCACCATATCTCTCATATATCCCGCCGTGCAATTTCTACCCTCAAACTATTCCATCACTTCCGCCATCTTCTACCCCAAAATACCCGTAGACTCCTAGTTTCCTCTCTCATCTTTCCCCACTTTGACTACAGCTGTGTGGTGTACGATGGCCTCTCGGTGGAACTGCGTGATAGACTCAAAAGACTTATGAATTGCTTCGTAAGATTTGTAATCGGAACCCCGAGACGCTCCCGTGTCTCCCACCACTACACTGAGTTAGGGTGGCTCTTCCCCTCCTTAAGAAGACAATATTTCCTTGGCACTTTCCTTTATCAAATCATTACCGATCATCGTCCTTCTTATGCCTACAACCTTCTCCAATTTAAGTCCTCAATCCATTCACTCACTACAAGATCCCGACCCTCTGACCTATACATCCCTTCTCATAGATCTGCCTCATTCCAAAATTCCTTTATAGCCCGCTCTGTCAACTTTTGGAATTCCCTCCCGATCAAAATTCGACATGCCCCTTCCCTGTACACATTCAAAAACCTCTTATTCCAATTCCTGTTCCAAAAACAGTCAGATACCAGCTAACGATTAATATTATATATGTATTGTGTAGCAATCATAACACTTGGTAAGAGATAGTACATGCATTTCCTACTATCGACGTAGGAATTTCAATACATACATTTTTTTGTATTTTTTTTTTTATTCAATTATAAGTAACTGTTTATTTTCATATATATATTCAAGTAAAGTTTTTTTTTTTATGAAATGAACTCATTGTATCTCTTTTTCGTTCTTCATTTCTCAAAGTGTATGTTTATGTTGTTCAACCCTTAAATATAATTTTGTTCATAGTTCAAATGATTCGTTCATAGTTTTAATTGTTTTATTCATAATTTTAAATGCTCTGTACATAGTTGTATCTGTATTGTATATAGCTTGTGCACCTAAGGTTTTCTTTACTTTTTATTTTATTTTATCAATGTTATTTATTGTTTCAACGTTCAGGCCAGTAATATTCTATTATTTTGTACATTATTGTTATTCTGAAGGGACTTAGTCCCAGAATAAAGTTTTTTTTTTCTATCTATCTATCTATCTATATATATATATATATATATATATATATATATATATATATATATATATATATATATATATATATATATATATATATATATATAATATATATATATATATATATATATATATATATATGTATATATATATATATGTATATATATATATATATATATATATATGTATATATATATATATATGTATATATATATATATATATATATATATATGTATATATATATATATATTTATGTATATGCCTGCTCTAGGTATCTAACGAGGTAGGAAAGACGTGTGAGTGGACACATCTGATTTTTTTATAAGAACTCAGTCTTGATCTATTTTGACTTTAGAGTTACTTTCTTATTCTTTTTTTATATTAATTATTGTTGAAGAAAGATTTATTGTGTATTGTTCTCTATCTCAACAACTACAGTGACTGGAACAAGACACTGCATCTGCATGCTTTACAATCATTCTATTTTTATAAAAGATGATGTGGAATACTTGCAAAATAATCATGGGAGGAGTGTACTGAAAATCGGACCTGTGTACTGTAAGCGAGGAAATTATTCAGCATTTCATCCCCTCTGTAAAAAAAAATAAATAAATAAAAAGCCTGTACCATGAACAACCCATGAAGGGTTATGGGTTCAGTACAATGAGAGGAAGTATTGTACAAGGCCAACGGTTGTGCAGGTAGATGACGGGCCAATATCATGCTCAACCGTCAGGTTTTTTCCAGAAATCAATTATTTATTTAAGAGTACCCACCTTATAGAGGCTGGGTTTGCCCCAGAATGGTCTCCCGGCCCCAGGGTCAACCCACGGCTGATGAAAAATTACTAATCATCAGCTGGATTCGATCATGGGACCTTGAGCTCTGGAAGTCAGTGCTCACCCACTGAGCTGCCCCACTCACATCATCCACTCAGTAATGGGCTATTATTCAAAATTTTATCTTAACATGACACTGTGTTAGAGAGGCGAAAAAGAAAAATAGTGTTGAAAACCAAATGATAACGAGTTTTATGGAAGATTATATTTCATATTATTAATCTCGCTTTGTTGATGTTTTCACTGCTATTGTGTGGTCTAAAGCATACACCTTAGTTTCTTTCCACCCTTTCCTCAAGAAAACTATCCATTCACCCTTCTTAACTTCATTATTTTTGGTCAGTTCGGGTTATTAAAATGTTCTCATTACGAAAATTCAGATTACTGAGATTGCACTGTATTAAAGAAACCTAAATAGCAAACCTAATATCCAGTTCTGAAGAGTTCCATAGGTGAAAAAGCTGACTCCAGCATAAGGTATCACTCCCAAAATGGTTGGTGTATATCCTCTATAAAGAGCAAGTGGTCCTTCGGTTCTCCAGGTTTTCGCAAATACCTAAGAAAAATTTAGTATAATGAACATGATTACACTTATACAGAATAAAGATATAATGATTACTTTCATATCTTAGATTTTTAAATAATCAAAGTATTTAAGTTGATAATAATAAAACAAATGCAAATTTATGTACAGCAAATAGTACTATTATATTTAAAAACTATTTTTTCTAAACTGTATGTGCATATGGAACAGGTAAATAGTGTTTCTGCAGATATTATCTCCAAAACAAATAGGAAATAATATTTGACTGCATTGCTATCAGTCCACTGACAAGTACTGGTTTCCCATTCTAACATAGGAAGAAGTGGGTGATTGCCAGACATAGGAGAGGAAAAAGAAAACGAAGCCTGACAGAAGACAAGGATCTGATTTTAAATGTATGAAATGTGTGTGAGTTATACACAATAAAGAATAAAGGTATATGTGATATTCTTTCTTTCTAAGAACATATCAGTAATTGAAGAGTATGCAAGACCAGCACAACAATGATGCACGCTGAAATCTCCACAAGGCCAGTTCTAAAGAGGTATCTTCGGTGTGAAAGCTTTCGTTTAATTACATGCCCTGATGTTTTAGATCCTGCATCCAGGATGCACGCATCTTGTGTCTTTCATCTTTGGTGTAAAAGGGGCCTTAGATTGAAAGTAGAGGGTGATCCTTTGATGGTTCTTACACTATGTTTGTCTCTATTTATACAGATGGGATAAATTACTGTGTTAGTCCACACTAAAGGCATTTACTTCTCTTTCCACATGAAAAGTATTCTTTGCGTTATCACGGTGTGAGATGTGAATTTTCTTGAATCCTTCTCCACTATATCTAAGAAACTCAGACTGAATCTTGTCCAAAACAGGTGGTTTGTTATTTTTAAACTTCTTAATAGCATCTTCAAGCTCATCCTCATCTGGGGTTTGACAACCTCCATAGGCTACAAATAAACTTTTTCTGATAGGAATTTTGATTTGTACAAAGATTTGTTTAAATGTCATTTAGTCATTTCAATGATTAAGGTAAAGATTTCCTTTTAAATATATATAATAAGAAAACCTAATAAAACAATACTTAAACTTACTAATATTATTACTTTGTTTCTCCGGGTCATGTGGTATTTTTTTATAATATCATTAAGAGGAAATGAGCTTCAAAATATTAAGTAAGTATATATTCAATTGTGAAACAAACCTCGCCTTATTTATGTTAAAAATATGGATGATATAATACAAAATTATTTTTAAAATTTAGGGAGATACCTGTCAGTGAAGATATGTTTCAGATTAGTATAGATAGACATTTACCTATGTGAACATTGATAGATCCTTATTCATTAAACATAGAGTAAACCACACAGTTACTGACACCTCTGTCAGTTAAGACATCCTAATCTCTAATTACAATAGTAATCTTTTCTGTAAATGTTCATTTGCAAATAAAAGGGAGAAAAATTCCTTGGGAATCATAGAAATCAGCTGCATTGAAAGATCTTAAACTGAAAACTTATACAAATTTTATTAAATAGTAATTAAGGTGGGCTTGGGTGTTAATAGGTAATTTGGATTATTTTATACCATTATATAGGAAAATATCTTCCAGAGATATTATTGGGCACAAACTGCATACATCCATCCTTGAAAGAAGACTGAGATCTCTGGTGGAGTTACTCTTATGAGGGGAACAATCTGGTTCCTTCACAGAATCACATATTCCACCACAGAAATGTACTGTAAAATTCCTGATATCGGGGTAAAAATAAGTACCACATCTTCCTTGACCTCTATGACACTTATGGGACTGCCTGAGAAAATGGATTCAGAAATCCTACACAGAATAAGTAAGGTAACCTTAGTATAGTAACAGATGTGCAATACTGTTATTGCGAAGCGGGAGGTGGATGGAAATGTAAACCTATACATCTTTAAGCCAGTATACCTACATTTACTTTTATATAGAGCTGAAAGTTGGATGCTTACAGATAAATGGGAGAGCAGAGTGACAGCTTTGGAAAACGAGGTTTCTCTAAAAAATTGCAGGGGAAAGTAGAAGAAACTGTATTCACAATTAGACAATCAGGGAGGAACTATTCGTCCTCTTGGTGAATGAGCTTCTTGAGGTTCGCTAACTGAAGTGGTTTTCTTCGGGATAGAACATAGATATCCAGACGTTCCTGTTTAAACACTCACCCACACAATAGGTGATAGGCACAGTAGGGTGATCCAAAAGAAAAATATCACAAAAGATATTCAAATGGTATGAAATTTTTTATTTATCTTAAAAGTATAATAATACAGAAAAAATAAAATGAATTTCAATTGGATTTTATTAGACTATTTTTACAATTTTTCTTGGATTTATAATATAAATATTACTTTAAGGGTGTCAATATATCACTACTATTAGTTTTTATGTTCTTCTGTAAAAAAAACTCTTTCCACTAACAGTAGCGATAAGAAAAATACAACATATGGTAACCGTTGTAACCGTTCATAAGAATTGATGCAATGAGCACTATTATAAACCTAGCAGTAGTATTCAGTGGTATTTTTTGTGCTGTGTAATAAAAAATGTATACATTTTCAGGTTATTCATATGAAAGGTAATTAAACTGTCTAGAAAGTTTAATTTTTTAAGTTTAAATTTTTTACATACAACCTTTTGCACTAATAGTAGTGCTATCTATCTTGTTTATCCTACTTTAAACGTAACCAATATCTTGATTTAAATTCATAAATTAACTATATATTTTTCTTAATCACAGGAACGCATTCCTCATCAACATATAAGATCTCTTTTTCAAATATTTAAAGCACTATATATTGCTTTATAATATTTATACTAGATTGTAAGCATGTTATTTGATGATGACAGGCATATTCTATTCTATTCTATTAACCTTATAATTACAGTAATTTTTTTTCTCAAAAAATATACAATTAGAACTGTTATAAATCTAACAGTAATATCCAGTGATAGTTTTTGTGATGTATAATAAAAAATGTATAAATTTTATGGTTAATCATAAGAAAGGTAATTCAGGGTGGCTAACAAATTGTCAGAGTAAAATTCCCTGACTTTCCCCTGTTTAATGAAAGTTTTCCCTGACCAATATGTCAAGGGACACAAATGTTAAAAATATTTAGTTTATAACTAATTAATTTATAACTATAACTATATATATATATAATTTATAACTATAACTATATATATATAATTTATAACTATAACTATATATATATAATTTATAACTATAACTATATATATATATATATAATTTATAACTATAACTATTTAGTTCATCATACATGATTGTAAATTGAAAGATTAGAGAAAAAAAAAAAACTGATTAGTCTTTTAAAAAACAAATATAATGTTCAAGAGGAAGCATTTTTTAAACATGATTAAGATCTTTTTATTTTTATTTTAGAAAACTGACCTTAAGTAATTTATTTTTATCGCCTATTTACTAATACTTTAAGCACTTTATTTTCATAAAGTGAGAGTATGTAAAAGTTGATACTTGACGCTTTTATCTATTATGAAATAAACTGAGCAACAGGCTATTCTTATTTTAATGTAAGGCAATTTAGTTTTTTTATTGCCACAAACAGAACAATAATTATCCATACGGTACCAACTGTGAGGCGAGATGGCCGAGTAGTACCGTCAATGAATGATTACAGAAAGAAATGGCAGGGACACTATTTTTGACTTTGGTAGATTGTTTGACTAGTAAAGAAATAAACATACTAAAAGTCCCCACTCTTAGGTGGAAAGTCAGGTGGAGGGAGGAAGGGGGGCGGAGGAGGCCCCTAGGAAGTCACTTTTTTCGGGGTTTCACTTATATCGACGATCCTAAGACCATCTTAGACCACCACCCGTTATAGCTCGCTTTGTGAGGCAGGCAGTACGAGATGAGCTGGTACAAAGAAGAAAATTCAAAAGGGACTTTTCAACCCGAGACATTGGCTGGCAGGAAAACGACTCCCACATGATATATCTGGGTAAAGAAATGACCCCTGCTAATAGACGGCTGTATTGGCTCGAACGTCAGAAGAGAGCGGCTGGTAAGCTAAAATACGTATGGTTTTCAGCGGGTAGATTGCACTGCAGAAAAAGAGATGGCCATCCAGTGATATACATCCAACCAGATGATCTAGATGTTTTCTGATTTACGTCAACCTACAGAATGTATCCGTAAACTGCCAATTACCTTCTATTGTATAACACAGCACCGTGCTGGGTTGCCCATTTATTACTATTATTATTGTTATTATTATTTCTCTATTTTAACCAATGTAATCTTTTTTTTTTCTCTTTCATATTTTTGAAACTAACTCCTTTTTGTTTGTATTTTTTTCTCTTCTCTTACAGCCATTATTTACTTCTTTCCAAATTTATTTTCACAGTTTTCTCTTACTTACAGCATCATCCATCATATATATACTTTTTTCCTTTACATTACATCTTCGTGTCTTAACTACATGCCATGTTAATTCACAATCCCTTCCTGCATATCTTTTATTTCTCTTTCCTATTTTCCATAGTAGCAGACTACTTATTGCAGTTGCAGACTACAAAATGTCACCTTTAGCACAATTAGAATAAACATGGAAAATTGTAGAGAAAACAGTCTAATGAAATCCAATTGAAATTCATTTTATTTTTTCCTGAATTATTATACCTTTAAATAAATAAAAAAAATTATTTGTTGATGATTTGATAATGAACTAATCAGCTCGAAACATCGGAAGTAGAATGAAAAAATGTTATAAGGGCTTATATATTCATTAAAGACACCATATATAAGAACATTTGAGTGCCCTTGAAAAGTACTACTAAAGTAGCTCAATATATTACATATGACTTTTCCCACTAACAGTCGTTCAATAAATGATGGTTACTGAAAAAAACCTTTTCTTTTAACCTTATAATTACAGTACTTTTATTTTCTCAAAAAAAAAAAATTGTTTTCGAAAGACGAATTTCAATATAGATATAAATTATATCAGAATAAAATATTGATATATATTTTTTTTTAAATATCAACATATCAATACGTTTCAGTACTTTAAGTGTTTATTTACTTTCAGTTACCAATACCATAACATCAATTTTTCTAACTTCAACCTAATAAAATAGTTATTACCCAATGAAAATAAAATAATTACAATCTTGTCAAATACTAATTGTCTAGGAAAATAATATCCTGTCTAGAAACACTGCCTGCAACATATACATGCAAGTCAAAGTCAAAATAAAAATTAACAAGATAAAAGTTCTAAAAAATCAAACAATATAACATAAAAAAAAAAACTATAATAAATTTACTAGGACAATACCACATAAATGCAAATTTACCTGTTTGTCAAGAATTCCAATTCTCGATTAGCAAATTATCCATCCAATAACAGTAGTTATCTGTGAATTATCGTCATTAATAAAATTAATCCCTAATAATCTACAGCAAGGCTATTTAATTAAAAATAATTCTGAACGATATAAATATATGCTTCAGACTTGAAGAAAACAAAAATAAATCAAATACAACTTGTAGAACAAAAAATTTAAAAAACCAAAATCTGTTCCCAGAAACATACATGCAAGACAGAAAAATATAAAACAGCTGATTAAATAAAAGTTGACAACTAGAGGCAAAACAGAACCAAGCCAACAAAAACAATTGGAACTAACCTCAGAGATGGAGTTGTATGTCTGCTTTTGCGTTACCGCCATTCTAGCCCTGGCCAGATCTAGTGGGTAAGTTAGGCTTTGGGACGTTATACCTGCCAAAGATCCTGCCAAAAACCTCCTTTGCTTTTCACTGAAATTAAACATTTTACTTTAATTATTTTTCCTAATCAAGCTACAAACAATATTTAAAGGAGTTCATAGAGTTCAATTCCTCTTTTCTTATAAGTGGAATAATAATCAGCTATAAGGGTCCTCAGAGGACATCTAAGGTATAAAGAGAATTAAGAAGAGGACTTAAAATGTCGGCAAAGTGAGGGAAGAAGGAGGAAATAGAAGAATCTATGTAGATACAGATTGAAGAATTAGGAAGTAAATAAAGGGTAAGAGAGGTTTTACTTTTCATAATAGGCCCTTGTGTGAAAGACTATCAAATCCTTTTTCAATGTCAAAGAATGCTGCTGAGCAATGTTGCACAGCTAGTAATAATTTAGTTAGATAAAACTTAGTTCAAATCATTGATAAGAAAAACTACAAAAGGTCTTCTCTGTGAATAACTATCTAGCATAGACGATGGGTACTTTTATGTACGATGGGTGCACAATTTCTAATCTTTAAAAATAAAAATTATGAAGGAATATTTTTTTAATTTCACAAATCAAATTAAAAAAAAAAAAAAAAAAAACAAACCATATTACTAGGGGCTATGAAGGATCTTCGGTTAAGTCCTTTGTAAGAAAATACAGTTTGTTGATCAACGGTTGTGCCAAGACATTGACTGGGATCATGTATAATTGACAGGTTTTCCCCCTTAATTAAAAAATTAAGATTACCCACTTTATAAAGACTGGGTATGTCCCAGGAGGGTCTCCTGGCACTCGGGTTGTTACCCCAGTTCAAACATAGGATCCGCAAAAATAGCACAATCCCAACAGATAAATATAAATAAGAAATTATTAAGAACACTGATATTTGTTTTTATTTTTATTTATTTTAATTAATTCAAAAAACTCAATGAAGACACAATATAACTGATAAACAAATGAATGATTTTGAAGGAAGCCAATGATAATCCAAAATAAATCATGAAAAAAAAAAAAATTAAATATCATTTAAGTAGGGATGTTGTAAACTATCAGTATATCAATATTGCTATATTGATATTAAAATTTGACTATCGAAAACCAATCATTGGGAAAAAATCAATGAACAAAAAAAATTGTAAAATGTTCAAAGAAAGGCACCTCATTGAAAAAAAATCTGGTGTGGTGAGAGCATCACACAACTTTCACTTACCACCACCCTCTTATACAGCAGAAAGAGGTATTTTATTTTCAGAGTAAAGGGAAGTGAATGTAAAAATTATGAATGACACAAAATATAATTTAAAACAATTATCATTGTTTAATATAATTACCAAATGGTTTTAAAAGCCATATTTCATTTATACTTTTTTGTCACTAACCAATTCACTTTACGACTTTATGTTTTAATTATTTCTTTGATTATAATTAATAATCAGGTGCCAGGAAATATTTTTAGTGTGACAAGAGTGCCACTGACAAAGAAGGTCACTATATTTATTTAATTTTAAGGTATGACTCAATTCAGATGTATAGTATAACTGTTTAGTGATGCCCATCATCATTAAAAACGTATATAGCAAACTATTTATTTATAATTTAGCTAATAATAAACTTTTATTTAAATTTTTTTAGATTATAATATGTTTTGGAGACAATTTTATTAAGCAAAGTTATGAAATGATTCATTTATATTTTTTTTAATATCTGATTTATTTATATTGTGGATACATCTGTCATTATTATTAATTGTTTAAGCATAGGTCGAATGTTACAAGCATATATTAACAATCGATCAAGATGTTTGGCATTGGTGACCATGAAGTTTTACATTATTAAACAAGAACAAACAATTGATCAAGAACAAACTATGAATTCTTGTTATTTTATTTTTCTTATTGTTTTTTTTTCATTTCATGTTAATTAAAAAAGCTCGAAATGAATTTTCAAAATTCATTTTAAAAGTTTAAGGTGATATATGAGTCCACATTGAAAAGTAATGTTTTTAAAGTGTTTTTTTTTTTTTTTCAATATTGCAAAGTTCAACCACTTAACTAAACCAATTGATTGTACAGCATTTTATGAAAGAGGCACAACAAATGCTACAAAGATAATTATATACGGCTTACGTTTAAGATAACAGAGACTGACATCATCAAATTGATAACCATACACAAACTGACTGATAAGATCCTGATAAAAACAATCAGCAAATGAAATTTGAACCGCTTTAACTGTCTAGTCATCATTGTATGCATCAATTACTCACCTGGAACAGCTGATAATCTATGTGATCAAGACCAAATTGAATAGATTGGAAGCATATCTCTTTATCTTAAAAATTCATTATAGATTTTATGATTTTCCATACAATTATTTCATAATATATGCCAGTTAATGATTAAAATAAAAAAGCTAACCTTATTTTCTGTGCTAAAGCTTTTTATTTTTTTACATTAAATAGAATAAAACTCAGCTACAAAGCCACCAATTTTTTACTGCTTTACATCATTATTTAAGATTTTAATTTAATGTCAAGATCTTATCTATATTGAATAATGGAAAAAGGCTTCTGTCCATTATTCGGTGAATAAATCACATTTAAAATGTACAAAAAAGTTATAAGTTAGATTTAGGAAAATATTTATGATTAACAAATAACAAGATAAGATAACAGACTAAAAATGCTAGTAAACACATTATACAATGTTTAAATTTCTTCCATGTTTATAATATAAAACAAAATTTAGATTTTTTTAATAAACCATTAATTTTTTTTCTCTCCCTAAAACAAAACTTCTGTATCTTCATTTAAATTATAAAAGCAAATTAATTATACAATTTTTTTCAAATAACTGAAACAAAATCTTAATGCCTTTATCAGAATAACAAAACCTGTTTATTAATTGCAAAATATTTCAATTTTCTTCCATTAGAAATTATTCAATTAGAAAAGAACAACTTATATGTTATCAAACTTTCTGAAAATACTCTTAGTTTGCAGGAGTTCAAAATATAGCAGTTAATTCTCATTTAATCAATAAATTATATTTTCACAAATTTTGTACCACTTTAAGGGTATATCAACTTATTTTTGTTCTACAGTATTTGCCAAGTTCAACTTCTGAGAAGATATACAAGTCCAAAATTAAGTATTATAAAAATAATAAAACTTAATAAAAGAACTATTAAATGCACAATTTAGCAGGATTATGCATAAACCCACTAACCATCAAAAACATCAAAACGAAAGAAGTAAAAACATAATACACAAAAAACTAGTGGATACTTTAAGAAGTTGTTCATGGGTTGTCATATGGGATTTATACTTAAAATAAATAACAATTTATAATAATAATAATAAATATATATAAGTCAATTTTCATGTGTGTGACTTCTTAGACCACACTCCAGACCAACTTTTCCTTAAATTAGATTTACGGTCAACAATATCCATACCATTATAACAAGTTGATAAGTTTGTATGCATTTTGTTAAAACAAATAATTTCAAAACAATATATGACTTGATTATTTTCTTGATGGTATATATGACTGACATCACTAAAAATTTTATAATTGTTCTAATCCCCAACATAAATGACAGCCTTTGATACAGTGCAAACGTCTATTTTCAAAGGAAGGAGATGGTCCGGGGTTGCGGTCATAAATAGGCTAAATAGTGGTCAAACTATTTTATTGGGCTTTCAATAAAATAGTTTTACCACTATTTAGCCTATTTGTGACCGCAACCCCGGACCATCTCCTTCCTTTATAATGCAACGGTCAACTATTAAATAGTCTATTTTCAAGGAAATATGACAAATTGTAAATGCCAGCAGAAAATATAAGATTTTCTAACTTTCATCTGTTAATTATAATTAAGTTGCTGGCATAATAGCTCATAAATCCATGTGTTCTTTTTACAGAGAAAATTTTAATAACTTCGATATAATTTTAATAATAACCCTATAAAGTCTCTTTACAATCCAGAAATAAATTATGTCAATAAAACTATTTTGTGTCCATTGTTTGTTAATTGAGGTATTGGGAATGACACCAAAAGTTCACGTTACGGTGATAAGAGAAATGATTAAGTCTCTCAAACAAAGGTTATCGAGATAAAACTAGAAGAAGGTTGAGGCAAAGCAATGGTGTGTTCCAAAAATATAAACAATGAACCACAAGCCATCAGCAAGCTGGGGTAATAGCCCACTGGTAGATAGGAGTTGTAATGAATGAATAAAGGTAAGAGGATGAGTTGTCTAATTTAATGAGGATGAGTGGTAAAATTTAATTAAATTTTAAAAATAGATATTTTTATATAGTGTGCATGAGTCAAAGGTTATAAAAAAAAACTTTAGTCACTTTTAAACATTTCCTCAACTAGGCTTTAGTTAGTTGATGTAGTGAAATTTGAAGCATTTTAATTAAACATTGAGCTGTACTTCAAGTGCCTGGTTTTATTTATTTATATTCTTTTCTTGTTTCTGAAATTGCAAATATATATTTTTAACTCAAGCTTAAATATATTTTTTGAACCTTAATACATAGATATGGGATGCTGGAAGGTGTTGGGTACCACAGAAATTTTTAAAGAGCTACTCCGTCTGCTCATATCTCAAAGGTCTACAACTTCAATTATTACATTTTAATATTTTTTTATTAGCTTTCTTAATCAAAATTATAATAATAAAAGGATTAACAAACCCAAAGTTTCAATACCAAGTCTTTATTAAAATAATAATTTGAAATTATTAAAACATAGTAATCAATACTGCAAAAAAAATAGACATTTATTCGGCAAAATACTCTTATGTAATTCAACTAGAGAAAAATAGCTCTGAACCTGCGAGGATAAGAGTTGATATGGTTAAATGTCAACTCGTACAGACTGAAGCCCCAAGAAGCTCAGTCTTTATGACTTCAATTTTAAAAGCAATAAGGTTTTTAACCTGCCTTTCCATCGTATTTATATATTTGCTTATCTATTACTTTATAATAGGCTTTTCCAGCATTATTATTTCTTGTAATCATTGTCCTTGAATATTATTTTTCTAATTGAGGTCAAAATGATATCAAGTCAACCTCCAATGGTACTCTAGACAGCACATAATACTAGCTGCTAGTGAGTCTATAAAGCAAGGATAGTAACTATTGTCTAGCACAATGATCTTGAACAAGAAGCGTAGTCTTTCTGAAAGAGATCATATAGGATCAATACCAAAGTGGGAAAGCATTCATTTTTCCAGGGAAAAGATATCTTATTTTTATTATTTTTTATATTTTTATTTTTATGAATTGTCACCTTCAATGTTTTTATATTATAGAATAAACAAATTTAATTTTACTTTAAAGTGATAATGAAGGGTAGTCCTAAGTGAACCATGGTACTTCAAATGATGGGAAAATTACACAATACAATACAATTATACATTAATACCAGAATGTAAAGTGTTGGATGAAAACAAGATAGGAACCATTCGTCTAAACATAGCTTAGAAACAGATTTAATTGGCAAAAAGACGGAGATAAAAAATTCAACATAAGTATTTCTAACATTAAATTCAAATAACCATAAATATGATTAAATAGGCCATCGAATCATATAAAAAAAAAATACACTAAATGAAAGACTGATATTTTTGTACTACATTAAATGTTAAGAAAAATCCATATCTGAACCAAAAACAATTTGATTTGATGAAAATCAATTTATTTATTTATTTTTTTCGATTAAAGATTATATAACAATGGGATTGTTTGAATCTTTCTAAAAAAATAGGTTTTTACAAACAATAATGTTGAAAATAGCCACAAAATAAATCAAAGTATAGTATGAACTATAAAATTATTTAGCATACTCACTATTTTTTGGCTACTCCAGTATCAACATGAAGGATTCTTTTCCATTGTTCATGTGAAGTGAACTGAACTGCTGCATAAGGCATTATACGAGCCATAGTAGCAGAATTCCCGCGCCATAATGCAAAAAAACCTTCTTGCTGATACGACTTTATCACAAACTTAAATGCTGCTTTTGTAGAATACCTTTTTTTTGCAACCTAATTTAAAAAAAAAAAAAGTATAATTTTATAATATTATGATAATAGTATAATAATATAATTTTATTAAACATATAAAAGAATATAAATAATTTTCTCAATAAATAATTAATTTATTGATATATTTCAACAGTATAAATAGAATGCAACTTTATTGTTCATACAATATATATATACACACACATAAGCTACAAAGATAAGTGGTTTCATTGATGAAAATTAACAAACAATTGACACTTAAATTAATAAATGAAGGACATAAAATTACTTTTTTTTTCTTCAAACTCTTTTGAACTTTGAGTTATAAAATATCAACACAACATATTATAAATAGCATAAGAAAAAAAGTTGAATGGTATGGTATGAACAATTTCATTAGAATGGATCCTTGCCAAAATGTTAATTCTGATTTACACTAGCATTAAGGTAAACCTACATAAATGGCCTTGAATTTAAATAAACAGTAAAAAAGAGTTACGTGTAGAATGTCAGAACTTTCACTGATAATTATACTATGGACCTGGTTTAAAAAATTAAATATATGGAGTAATCTACCTGGAAATTAATTTTAGTTCTATCCAAAGGAGCAATTGTAGTTTTAGCTAATGCTCCGGCAACAGCTCCTGCTATCAGACTTGTCATAACCACTTTAGAATTTGAAAGCTAAAAAAAATTAAGCATTCTTGTTTTAAACTGCCTTAAACAAGAAAAGAATATATATCTGAAATAAATTAGCCTACTTTATTTTCAGCATTGAAGTGAGTCATTTTAAGATCTGACCCGACTAATTATCCCTGGGTAAGGACAATCTTATCCTTCAAATGTTCCATTTATTTTATACATGGAATGTCATTGGTTTATGAAGGATCTATAACTGGAAAATGATTTTAAAAATTAAATATGTCCTGTCTTGGCATAAATCATTTTAATTAAATGGGAATTGATTCACTAGGGCTTGAAAAAAAAGACAAAAGTGGACAAAAGAATGGGAAAAAAACTCACGCAATTGAACAGTCATTCCAAGATCACAGCTAAAAGACCTACAAAACACTAAAGCAGATAACCTTCGGCACAGTGATAAGTGTTTGAGGTTTTACAAGGGTTTCATAATGGCTGATAAGAGAACTGGCGCGGTTCTTGTGACAGGTGAGCAACCTCGCTAACTGATAACAGATAGCGTTACTGTCTAGAGTTGAACATACTTTAATTGAAATAATTATGTGGGTTCAGAAAATGTTTCTGATGCATAGTTGGGTCAAAAAAACTCTCAGTTGAATATTTCATGATAAAACTGAACCAATCCCTATAATATATTCCTACATATTAAGTATATACCTATCTGTATTCATATGTAATAATGGGCCAAAAAGGTTGTGAATACTCTCTCATGTATCTATTGTATTTTTATTTTAATAAACAATTTTATTTAGTAAGAGTGGCAAAATACTGCACTATTTTTCTTATCATTAATTGTTTATAAAATTATTTTGTCACTTTTTTCATACACATAAATTAGAACATTATATTTTTTATTACATAATATAAACTTGTGGACCCTCCTTTGTTTTTAATGACTTTAAATAAATGGGCTTCAATGGATCCAACTAATCGTGCTGTAATTTCTCTGCAAATTTTTTCTCATTGTTCCAAAAATATCTTTTTTATTTAATTCTTCTCTATTCCATATCCCTCATATTCTTACCTAAAAATTGATTTTATAGATTCAGGTGCTGTTTGGAATTGAGGCAGGGATAATTGCCATCCATTTGATCCTAAAGCAATATGTTTAGAGATTTTGTTTTGTTGATAGACAAATGTTCCATTCAACCCTAACTTTTTCACAATTACTTTTAAATTGTCCCTTAATATAGTAATATATAAACATTGATATGTAATACTGTTAAATATATGCAACTTACTCATTTTGCACTCGTACATCCCCAGAGCACAATAATAATTTACAGGCTGTTAAGCCTTATAATGGGTATACAATTATGTACAATTTTAATATATTGACTTTAAAGATGTCATATCTTTAATAAATTATAAGGACAAGAAGTAGTGCTCTGTAATGGAGTGTTGCCCTAAAACGTTAACAATGAATTTTAAATAATAAAATATAAACATCAGTAAATGGGCACTGTTTATAATTGCCAAATGATATTGTCAACATGGCTTCCTATTAAATTTGAATATACATTCGAAAAAAAAGTATATGTATTAGTGAGTATGAGGATCATTAAAGGTAAATAATAAAACATATTATCGGCACCATGTTAAAGTAATGAATGTTGACTAGCCCAATGTTGCACATTCCTTACTTTAACATGGCCGACGATTTTCCATTTGTTTTATTTTATATTTTTTGCTTGTGTCTCACATTATTGATCATTATCATTTCAGCATTCATTATTTTAAATATCAAAGAAAAAGAAGTCTAACTAAAATCATGAAATTATTACTATGGTCGCTAAAGGTATGACAGAATTTTATTAATAATAGAGTTTTACTATCAATACCTTCACCACAGGCAGATCTATGGAAAATAGGTGGAGGGGGTTTCGGGCTGAGGTCTCCCTCCTCCATAATGGTAAAATAAAAGCCTGCCTTATGAAAAAAATTATCTCAAAAAATATTATTGTCCTTGTTTTGCATTACATTTAATAGGACTTCACGAATCACTTAAACACCATTTCATACAGGTAGTTTTGAATGGTGTTTAAAAATTAATTTCTGAATCCACTAGAGACCTTCACTACATGGTTGTAGTCAGGATGGAGCAGCTGTCTACCCTTCAGACAGAAAAAATAAATCAGTGACAAATATTAATAAGAAATTTAAAAACAGGAACAAGTTGGTTGTTAATATTTCAACATTTTGAAAGAAACTATTTACAAAAAAAAAAGGAAGTCTTCAAGAAAAAAATGAAATATAAACAGTTGCTCCCTCTCTTATAAGATAATTTTTTTTTTTGAGCTGGTGCTCTTGCTTCACCAATTTAATGTACAAATCTACAGATGCTAAGTAAACACAAATCAGACTCATTAAGTGCTATACAATGTCTTTATAAAATCATATCATAAATATCAAAATTATGAAAAAAAATCTGGTGCAGTGCGTCACACAACTTTCACTTACCACCCTCTTACCAGAAATAAATATTTTCAGACAAAGGGGAAGAGAAAGTAAAAATTATAGCTGCTATATTTATTTATATTTCATGTTGAGTTTTTTTATTTGTATAAGTATCCTAATATATACAAATATTAATATTTATACCACTGTAATATATAAAATCAAATATTATCTACAATAGCATTTATGAAAATCGCATATGTATATTGATATAATATTATTTGAGTCCATATTATATTAAGCTCATGTTACATATGGAAGCGTATTCTAATCTTTCAGGTGAGCTCGGATGCGCTCGTATTCCTTTCGTTTCTCAATTACAACTATTCTTGATTACGATCTTTTATTTCTCCTTTAGTTAATTAACAAATTCTTTCATATTGTACATTTAACTATCTTTTATATTAGAGATAATTGTGAAATGATCAATTGTTTCAAATAAAAAAAATTAAAGGTGCTTTAGGGGAAGCTGATATTGAAAATTAGCCATTTAAGCCCTGTTAGAGAACATCAATCAGAATAAAAACTACATTTTATTTAAAACTGCTTAATTTTACTATGATGTAATGAATTTAATCTGTTTTTGAGAAAATTGTAAAAATGTGTTTAGGCCATGATAAAAAGTGCTACTTCCAGACGAAAAAGTTGCTGTAACATCCCTAGCATATAAAAATATTAAATATGCAATTTCAGTTTCATACAACTTTTTGTTTTTGAGCAAGTCTATTAACACACACACACACACACACACACACACACACACACACACACACACACACACACACACACACAATCTTTGACGTGCTCCAGTTCCTCCCCCTTCAATCGAAGTATTCGATCTCCCCTCTCTTCTCCTCTTCCTATCCTTATAATTTTTATCTTGTGGCTGTTTATTTCCAGGTTGAACAGTTCTAATTCTTCCTGCAGGATTCGGAGATTGTATTGGAGGTTTCTTCCGTTGTTCCCGAATACCACGATATCATCGGCATGTGCCAGAAGGGTGAGATGAACTGGTAGTAGCTCTCTGTGGCCCAACCTAAAAGGTCTCATTCTTTCCTTAGCTCTTTTCAGTGCCATGTTGAGCACTATTATAAACAGTAAAGGGCTTAGACTACAGCCCTGCCTTATTCCTTGGGTGCTCTGAAACTCCTTAGAGGTGTGGTTATTGGTTCTGACCACGTTTATTTTCTTTTTATATAGGCTAAGATTTTACAAAACAAAAATTATAACCAAAAACAATAACTACACCTTGCTCATACATTAAACTGAAGGCTATTCCTACTCCTGATCCTATTCCTCTACTCTTCCTTCGTTCGGCTCTCAATTTATGATCGTTCACATGCTCTAACTTAAATAAAAAAATAAAAAAACAGAATATGCTAAGTAAATTTGATCCTAATTAATAATATGATCCTGATTGTTTTATTCCATATACATCACATTTATCAAATCAATCACCAGTTTAAGAGAATTTCTATCAAAGCAATAAATTTTATACCTCAAATTCATTCATATAGCAGCATAATTAATTAATTAATGACTAATTAAGTTCTGAAAGGAAAACAATATTAGATTTAAGATTAAATATATCATTTCATCTTTTTTTCATAAGTCCTAAGGGAGATGCTTTTTTATCTGAGGTATATAAATAAAAATTAAGTAACAGCTTTACTCTCCCAATAATTTTTCTTTATTTTTATAACATTTTGGGATCACTTTATTATCCAATCTTCAGACCTTATCTCATCCTTCTATCATCTAATTTTTAAAAAAAGATTTGTCATATTTTTTTTTATATTTTCATAAAACATCCCATAATTATGTTGTGTACTTCTTTAAGGAGAGTCAAATACTGATTAGATTAAGTGTCAAATGTAGAGTTTGATTAATTTGAAGATGGGTTAATAAAGTGTTCCCTAAATGTTTTAAAAATAAAGAAAAAATTGTTGGGAGGGTAAAGCTGTTACTTAATTTTTATTTAAATATCATTTCATTAGAAAATTAAAAGTGAACTTCAACAATATACAGGAACAGACTATTATAATTTTTTTGAAAATAGATATTTAAAAAAGAAACAAAGCCACAAAGAAAATTTATTAAAAGATGAACTTTCGTTTATTTTTCCAATAGTCTTTCAAAATAAATCACAGATTTTTAAATTTATGGAAATCAGCTTTCACAAATGCCTCGGAAAAAATATTTCCTTAAGTCTGTAAAAGATTAGTTCAAAATATTTATTTGTATATCAGCATTTTTTATCAGTATTGTAATCGGTATTTTTAAGTTATAATTTTGATATATGAGTTTCCCACTCTAAATTTGAAGCCGAATTTTCTATATGTTAGCTATTTATTTTATAAATTAATGAATACATTGAAAGATTTTAGTAATAATTTTTTTTATCTATCAAATTAAGTTCTCAAAAGGTATTAGTTCCATAAATTAAAAACAGATAATGTGAGACTACTTTTGATGATTTCAGAACGCTTTATTATATAAAGAAAATATAAACGAGGGATACATTTTTAAATTATATCCATCATTAAAATAAATTATTTTAATTAAAATCATGATAAGAGTAATCTACTTTAAATAATTAAAAGCAGGATAAATATGATCCTGCAAGAAGTTTATATTTGTTTTCACAGAGCGCGCTAAAATCTTATCTCAGCAAGAAGGTAATTTGTGTGATAGTAAAGTATTACCTTCTCCAGTCCCTTATCAAGCTTCCTTCTGGTTGGAAATAATCTTTCGTGGTCTAGTATTTTATTGGGTATTTTTCTGCCATGTCAGGTTAGTAAAATATTTTCTTATTATTTTTATGTTACAAATTTATTATTATTTACTAGTTTTTGTGAGGGAAAGACATATTATGTAATACCACATTACCATTTTAATGTTGCACTTACAGCAACCCCCAAACACTATTTAAATAATTTCCGATATTTTTAATTATGATAATTTTTTCTATAATAATAATATATACTGTCTTCTTAGCAGATTAATTAATGATCTGTTACTGTTAATGATTCAGGCCAATATATCAGTGTTTGTTAACAATTAAATGATTTATGTCTTAGGATCGTTTTTACTTTTAAGTCAAATATTTTTTATGTAATTCAATTAGGATTTTTGATTGTTGTAGTCCAAAGATTATCACACCAAAAAAGTAGGTTGAGTACCTTGTATTATCAAACTTGTTTGGCTAATAACTCTTTTCTCTTTAATATTTTTTTTTATTTATCAAAATATATTTTTGACGTATATTTCATAGTGCGTTGTGTTTTACCTCATTTACTAATTGTCAATATTTAAGGATAGAACTGTATCCAACCATATATTTTTTGTAGCAAAATTAGTTTTTCATAAAAATTATCTAATCTGGTATAAGGATCAAGAAAAGTATGCAGTTAGATAAAAAATATGAATTTGATAATTGTTTGCTTTCTATTGTGGACTTTGTATTGTACTTAAAATATGTTAATTAAGAAGCTTCTTTAATCTCTATTTTTTTTGTTAATGAATAAAAGGTCCGAATCCATACAACGGAATTCTGAAAAAGTTGGAAGCTTCTGGTGTGTCCTACAACTATTACAATCTTCCTGAATTAGGTCCTCAATATGGTGAGACTTTTTTTTATTACAAATTATTCATATTAATAAAAAAAAAAAAATCTCTTGATTGAAATGCTTTAATTTTGTATTATCTTTATTAGTTTTTAGATATTGTAAAACTTTAGATTTTTGGAGAGTAACATAAGTATCAGATGCTAGGAAATATTAGGTGGAATTTATGACTTGCACTTCTTGAAGACTTTAATGTGACAGTTTTTTATTGCTTAACAATATTTCGCTTTTATTGTAAATAGTTTTACCACTTTAGTTTTTAAATTAATTAATTTTAATTACAAAATTGTTAATTTTTAACAAATTATTTATTTTTTTCATTTTGTTTTATTATTAGAATTAAATATTGAATTATTTTGTTCAGAGAGAAGGCACAAAAATATTTTATTAAATGCAGAACTCACTGTTTGGTTGATTGATTTATAAAATTACTTTAAAAATATAATATGAACTATAATAGCATCGCTTAGATTGATAAAGGCATATTTTACAAAAAAATGTTCAGCTAAATTTTAGCTTTTTTATACTCAAACATTTTACTGAATCTAAAGTTATATTTATAGTAATAATACACAAGCTTGTGGAAGTCATATTAGAAATATTTTTTATTATTTTGCATAAATAAATTATTCATTTATTTTATTGTTGAGAATGGGAATACTCTATTTATTAGTCATTAATACATAAGTTGTCTCGTTTTTTTACTTTGAATTTAAACTTATAATCTGCTATAGTTTTCTCTCTCTCTCTCTCTCTCTTTATATATATATATTTTAAATTTTATTTGTTACTTTAGTTTAATAAATTTAAAGGTATTGTACTATATAATAAATTATATAAGAAAAAAGTTTTATAATTATATATTTTGTAGGTATTGTCCATAAAACATTCAATGATTAAGATATACCTAAATCAAAAACAGCAAATTGTTTATTTAAGTTTTAGTAAAAATTAAATTGCTGGTCTAATTGCCTCTCTATTGCTTCAATTAAAATTATAGTATGTCTAATTCACCATTCTCTAGTTTGTTTAATCATTTGAGGGGTTATCTTCAGGATTGTGTAAGCTTGGATCAGGCAGTTTTTAAATGATCTGCATTTTAATTTTTGGATCTTTCATAATTGTTTTAATTTTACCCTATAAAATTTTGTAATTTTCAGAATTCATGTTGCATTTCACCAGTATCTCTTTATTCAGTATCCTTGTATAGAGATAAAAAACAAGTGGGATGTCTTTATTCCAATAGGAACATGACAAAAAAATAAATTGCTAATAATCCATAGTGTTATGAAAAAGAGAACTTAACCTAGTTTAGCCATTTTAAACAACCTTTAAAATAGTTTTAATAAAGCCAAATTCTACTTTCTCTTTTAAGAAAAGATTGTCAAACTAACTTGTTAATTATCTACATTCAATAGTTTTTAGCTTCAAGATAGCTTGTATTTTTATTAACATTGATTATTATATTAAATGAGTTAAAATGTTACATAACTTACAAAAACTAAAATGCGCTTCCATTGAAGTAAGCTAAGTACATTTTTGTTATGAAAAAGCAAGTTAGATTTGTTTTTAGTGTCCTTTAAAACTCTTAAATACAATTTTTTACAGAAATCACAAATTGGTAAATTTAATAAATGATTTTCTTAGAGGATTTTTTTTTTTTTTTTTGCTGATAATTAAAGAATTTATATTTTCTCTTAATTTTATCCAAATTCAACTTTAGTACAACCATTGAAAAGCTGAATTAGTACTTTTCCAAGTCATGTGGATAACTATTAAATTTCTTTCCATTTTAAACTAGAAATTAAGAACTCCTTAATCATTTTTATTTTATACTTTAGTTCTATTTTATTTATGGGGATCGGTTTTGTACCATTCTGTGGAGCATATAGTGCCCTAAATCAGTATTAATTTTTGTTTGGATTGGTGGAGCCATTTTTTATTAAATATAAAATATTATAATTTTCCGCATGAAATATTCCTGTAAGCTGGACCATAAATTTGGTTGACCACAATAAAAATTTTGATTACTTTAGAACAGCTCCAAATCCACACAAAAATTAATAGGTATTTAGGGCTCTACATGCTCCACAGAATGGTACAAAACCGAACTCCATAAACAAATTAGAACTAAAGATTTAAAATAAAAATGATTAAAAAGTTGTTCTTAATTGATAGCTTAAAAAGGAATAAAATCCAAAAATTGTAGCTTGGAAGAGCAGTAATTTTGCTTTCCAATGGTTGTACTAACTTTGAATTTGGAGAAAATCCTGAAAAGTTATGAATTCTTTAGCCATCGGCTAAAGAAATTTTTGATTTCTATGAAAATTCGTATTTAAGAGTTTTAAAGAAAACTAAAAACTTGTGTGCTTTAAGTAAAACAAACAACTAAAAGTTTAAACTAAAAGCTTGAATCTAACTTGCTTTTTCATTACAAAAATTTACCTTGCTTACTTTACTGGAAGCACCTTTTGGTTTTTGTAATTTATGATACATTATAACTCATTTAATACAATAATCAATTTTTTTTTTCATTTTTACATAAAAAAGAGAAATTAATTAATTGATATATGATAAAGCAAAGGCAAAATCAAATAACATAAATTTTATTTGAAATTATATAAAATAATTTTGTTCTCAGGGCACATTGGAACAAACACTGTGATATGTTTCAAATATTTTTCATATATTGTGTAGTATCACGGAATAAAATTTGGTTGAAATCAGTGACCTCCTTGTAAATTCTGTTTTTCATAAAATCGTAGATTATTTACAATTTTGTTTTATCACTTTTCAACTGGACTACAAACATCTTGCTTTTAGAATAATTTACTTGTTTAATAAGATCTAAGTCTATATGAGTTAAGTTGAGTTGTTTCTCAGAATAATTTGAGATTCACCTCCATTTGTGTGAGAACATTATATGATTGATTTTGACATTCAGACATCCCAAAGTATTTGTGTTTTTAGGAGAAGTAATTACTACAAATCTTTTATTTCTCTTTTTGTGATGTAAGATACATAGTATTAAATTAATTATTTTTTCATGAAAATAATTGAAGCAATTTTATGGTTTCATTTTTTCAGAAATGTTAATAAATAATTTATTACTTTTCATTGGTATTGATGGTCTCTATATCTTTTGGCATGAGTATTGTTATTTACATGATTATGGCAATTTATGAAATTAAATTTCCCATTATTTGTAAATGTTGCTTCTTCAAGAAATAACATTCTTCCATAGAAGCAGTTTTCATTACCAATAGGTTGTCAATACCAGCAGGGCTGGCTTTATGGTATTCAATTGCATCCCGGTTGCTCTGGGGCGCCGACCTGGAGAGACTCCGGCCAATCTTCAGGGCCATTGCCCCTTGTTAGAAAAAAAAAAAAAAATATATATATATATATATATATATATATGTCATGATCTTTTTTGGAATGTGATTCTCAGCCATTCAAGAGATGTGCCCAGCCCATCTCAATCTACCGAGCTTCATGAAATGAATCGTGTCTGGTTCTTTAAACAAATCTTTGAGCTCCTGGTTTGTCCGATGTCTCCATAACTGGTCAACTTTCACAGCTCCAAAGATTTTATGCAAAATCTTCCTGTCAAAGACTATTAGATTCTGCTTGTCAGTTTTGGAGATAGTCCATGTTTTTGAGCCATAAAGGAGTATCAGTCGGATAATTGTTTTATAAAATAGGATCTCTGTTCCTCTGGTTAAAGCACGGCTCCTATAATGTGGACTGAGGCCATAATAACAACAATTGGCACATACTACTCTTCGCTTAATTTCAGAATCCACAATATTATCATGAGTTTTGAGAGATCTGAGATAAATAAATTCCGACACTTTTTCAATGGAGAATTCTCCTACGGTAATCCTTATGCCTGGTCTGGGATTTTCCTCAGTGACCATATATTTGGTTTTGCAGCGTTGACTTTAAGGCCCATTTTTCTTGCTACTTCCACTAGTTTTAAGAATCCATCAGAGACTGCCTGTAAAGAGCTTCCAGCAATGTCAGCATAAGCAAGAAGTTGCACTGTCCAGCTGAATACTGTTGCACCCACTTGAATACCAAAATCTCTAATGGACTTCTCTAAAGCTAAATTAAAGAGAAGACATGCCAGTGCATCTCCCTGCCTTAGTCCTTTTTTCCAGAAGTGAATTCTGCTGATCTTGCTCCTCCAACTTGCACCGAGCATCTCACTTCTCTCATGGTGAGTCTTACCATTCTAATAAGATTTTCAGGGATTCCGAGCTCTCTCATTGCCTCTTAAAGCTGTTCCCTATGAGCACTATCATAAGCTTCTTTAAAATCAACAAAAAGATTATGCGTTTTAAGCTTATATTCACGTCCTTTTTCAAGCATGATGCGCAAGCAAAATATCTGTTCAATGGTAGATCGTCCTTTCCAAAAACCACTCTGGTACAGGCCTAAGATCTTTTCTCCATAGGAAAGTAGTCGTTGAAAGAGAATGTTGGACAACACTTTGTACGCACAAGAGAGTAAGGAGATGCCTCTATAATTACCACAGACTAGCTGATCACCCTTTTTATGGATTGGACATATTATTAATTTATTCCAAGATTCTGGCATTACTTCATCAGTCCAGATCCGAATCATGATATTCTGAAGGATTTTCAGTAATTCACTTCCTCCACACTTAAGTAGTTCTTCTGCAGGCAAATCGTCAACCCCTGGAGCCTGATTATTAACACTTACCTTGCCATATCTATCGTACAGGTGGGGATGGGTTAGGTTGGTTGTTTTAAAGATACGACCAAACCTGAATAGGTTTGGTCGTAGACTAGAGTGGTTAGAATTAACCAGAGTAAGGAGGTCGAGATTTATTTCATGGGTCCGCTGTGAAATAAATTTCAATCCGCCTAGGTCGGATTTAAACCAGTATCACTAAACATGAGAGTCCTAAAAAATGCAATTCTTTAACATATTCAGTCTTCACAACCTCTAAAAAATGTATATTTATTGAT